ACCCTTTGGGGGGGGTCCAGCCAATGGAAACATTTCGGAGGACAAAAAATCATTTGGGGGGGCATTGGGGGGGGGGGGGGGGGGGGGGAGGTTAGTTAGTGACGACACGACGGAAAAATATATATCAAAATATGGGGGTACGTCCGATTGATGTTCCTGCTATCGTCTCCATCAACTACATCAGTCCGGTACACATCTCTCTATCCGTTCAGCCATCTCCGCCCTGCTCCCTTCGGCTGCAGTCGTGTCTTCTGCCGTTCGACGTTTCCCCCCCTAGTTCTCCCTTCCCGCCCTGCTCTGCTGTCCGTTTGGTCTGCTGTTCGGTGTTTTTCTTGTTCCGTTCCTCCGCACGTGTCGTATGCTTAGCTTCTCTTGCTCCTTGTGCCATTTGACCATGATGAACATCTCCGCTCCCTGCATCACCCTTTCGTACCACGGCAGTTCCTCCGTCTTTTTCGACATGGATCGTTCATTCGGCAAATCAAAAGCGTGTGATTGGTGACCAGACTAGCACGGAAGGCACAGGTGGCACCGTAGGCCCTCGCACACTATTAGTAGTATAGAGAGGTTTATAGCAGAGCAGTTCATGCATCATCAGTGGCGGTGTCGAGCAGCGTGTTGGTGTGCCTCTCTCTGTTCTCTCTTTCGATCGCTGATGACAACGAACAATCGCTGGTCTGGTCAACACGCACATACCAACACCATTATCCCGGGGGGGTGATAACGCACACGGTGATAACCACGGAGTCTCCATGGTCAGCCATGGGCAACCATGGAGACTCCATGGTGAAAATGCCCATGTATGTACAAGACCCCTTGAGACGGCCCTTCCCTCTGTTGTGAGCCCGTTGGCAAAACGAGAAAGTAGGGCTTCAGTTGAGGCCGGGACTACCCCCGGGTTGTTATGACAGGTCATGGCTGGATTACGACCGCGGGTTATGATCCACTAGTTTGGTCATATTCTTGCGAAAGCCAGAAACAACAAACTACACTAGGTCCTGACCGGGTCCCGGGTCATGACTCTGTCGATGATGAACATGATGAACTTACCGTCGCCACATGAACAGGGTACTACATGTAGCCTCAGGGAAATAAATGACGGATGTTAAAGATGGGCCTGGAACTGAGCAGAGGCCGAATCGGTTTTGATGTAGCGATGACAGCAACAACAACAACAGCTACTGACAGCAGACAGCAGATCAGCAGATCTCGGTCGTTGTGCCGGTTCATCGATCCAAGAACCTGCGAACCGGTTCCGTTCTTTGCGCGCTGCACGTTGCATATCTTGCCCATCCACGCAATCATGCATATCGTTTCTTGTCGTTGAAAATCCACGCTTCCTGCCTATCCTCCTGCTCCTTGCGGCACTTCTCTCCGAACACGCTGCATCGAGGCTGCGACCAACATGTTGTTGACAGTGTGGCTTTCACCGCTCTTCCTCTTGGTCCAGGGCATCGGTGCTGGTACCGAAAAGGTGAGCGAGACGGAGAACACAGACGACACGCATTTCGTGACCTTTTCTACACGACAAGGACGGCCCTACGATACGCGAGTGCGCACGTATGTACGCAAGTCCTTCATTGAGGTGAAAGTCGAAACCTCTTGTTTGGCATTGTGTTCTTGGATAGAGCCACACTCAGCTACAGCCGGCGGCAGGGGTGGTCGTGTGTATGGATTGATGTGGTGCCAGAAGGGTTAAGACCTAATGTGGGCGCTTGTGTGTCTACAGCAGCAGCCTCATACATATCCCTGCCCAGGGAAACCAATAGCACGCCCACCTGAAGCAGACACCATTTGCACGGTCATGCCATCCATTCTCCCCAAGAGTGCTCTATTTAGCGCAACCCTCAGCTCTCGTGCGGCGTTGATCAACGTTAGCTGAGTGATGGGGTCATGTTCTTGAAGCGTACCTCCCTTGCAAAGAAATTTGATCAGAAAATGTTTCGGCGGTCAGATTGTGGACAGCCGCGCGTGGTTCAGCAACTAGCAACACACGCTGGGTGCTGCCGTACCCACATCCGGACCGACAATCCTTGATTACCTAGCTCGTTGCCTCTGGAAGAGGTTGTCTGTTACACGTCTCTAGGAGCAGGATGAGTGCACGTGAATACTTGTATACCAACGCGTCGTACAGAGCGGGTTATTTACAACGAAAAGCACAGCAAATATACAACGCCCACCGCGCTTGCCTTGGTCTGTGGACCGAAGCTATACACCAATTATTTTTTGACAGAAATATCCGCCCATCCGCCCAACACACCCGCCGGCACCCACACGCACATATTTGGGAAAGCTGTCCACGTCGCTACATTTTCGGTGACGTCACCACGATTGACTGAAACTTCGGAAGATGGAGGGATTTCGGGAGACAGACGACGTGGACCTTTCAACGTAAGACGTAATCATAGTAATGACGGACTGTTTCTGGCTCGCTACAATGTAGATATATTGAACGGTCGCTCCGTAGTAGTAGTGGTAAATTAACCTCGTGAACACTCATAGCAGCAAATCTGATTCTCTCTCTGCATCAAAGCAAAACAAAACAAAAGTGGAAAACCCATTGTTCGTGACAGCGGGTAGACAACGGAGGAAATGTGGGGAATAAAAAATACCAACAGAAAGAAAGCTGTGTGACCTGGATGGAGGAAGTTATATGGGGAATGGACTAGAAAATAATGAATGGTGAATGTGTCCCCGACATCAGTAATGCCTCGCAAACGTGTCTACCTCCAGCATCCTATTGTTGTGTGCATGTGGGGGCACGTGCTTTGGCCAATGGCTGAGCAGCTGAATGTTGTCAATGACATAGATAGGGGGCGAGAGCCTTTTCGGCGGGAACGCTGGGGGTATGGAATACTCCCGTATTCCTATACTAGATAGGGCGGGGTAGTGAGTCGCGGGGTAGCGACTCAACACATGTACCTCGCAGTAGTCTTATCTGCAATGAATGCTGATGGTGCACGAATGAATGCCGACACGCAGCTGCGAAGGTGTACCGATTCTGGTAAAAGTCAATCGACGGATACCCTGCGAATCGGATCCTCCTTAACACTCTCCACCCACAGAATTTACCCTCAACTGGGAACCTCTTGTGGCCAGGACGGGTAATTCGATGGAAGTGTCACAAGGTTCTTTATAGGATCGATTCCAAGTAGAGGTGTTCTCAGGACTGACACACATTGTGTCCATGGGAAAATGCCCAAGTCAGGAGAAAAAACGTGCACCCAAGGAGATTCGAACCAGTATCATCCTGCTGACGCTTAACACAGCAGCGTGAATCGTTTGTGGTGCAGCTACGCGTGCACCGGAGGGGGCTCTATGTGCGTCCCGTTCAATATGTTGCACTTTTTTTTACGTGTGTGTGTGTGCGGTGGTAGTGACTTTTTCCGTAGATGCATAACATGTGCATGCCCCACGAAGGACCAATATGAAGTCTCCCCGCTGTGCGGAGGCAAACACGCACATCTGGAAGAGGCACGCATGCGGCATGTACCTGACCCGAGCGTATCACACGTCACACCGCCTAGGAGCACGAGCAGCAGCAGCAGCGTAGACAGACATGGGATCGTGACAGACAGATGCGTGACAGACAGATGGCAAATATTAAGTCAGGCTCACAACTTACCCGCCACATTCATTCGTCTCGATCGAGCCTCCGAATTTCCCACCATCCATGTGAAAGCAAGCAGCTGCATACATCACGGGACATTACAACAATAACGCATGCACCAAAAACAAAAGCCGGTGATGGCGATGAGTTGGATGCGGGAGACCCAGCACCAGCACCAACCAGCATCAGGCAGGGTACGGCTTTTGTAAAGACAGTAAGTAGCGCGGCGCAAGTACGCAGCAACCTGTCTGAACCGATCCCGGGTAACCATATCCTGATAGCGCACAGCAGTAGACCCTCGCGCCCTCGACGATTTCTCTCGATGGTAGGTGTGATCTAGACTTGGGAAGGTGTGTTCCCAACTTTGGTTTTGTGATTATTGGTCGGTCCAGTTGATTGATATGTCTGTCTACTGTTATTTTAGCAGTCGGTTGGACCCACTCAACATCAATAAGCACCACGGCCAGGTTACACATGGCGCATGACTACCCACGGCGTGCAGGTCGTATAGGCTCGGCCCTCCTGGTTTTCGAAGCTGGTCTCGGATCAGCGTCCCAGCGGTGATGCGTTTTTTGGTCTTGTTGTTGCGTCTCTGTCCCTGTGTCTTCTCCTGGTTTTATTATTCCTTAATTCTCCTGGTTTCAATCGCGCGCGCGCGCGATCTCCGTTTTTGTGTTCCCCTTTTCGTGGAAAACCAAGGGGATGGGGTGACCGATCTCCTACGAACTTTGGGCGCATGTGCCTGTGAAGCACGGTCATCTGTTGCCGAAGCACGACCAAACCGACCGGTGTGGCGGAGAGCGCGCTATTTTTCTTGTTCCTCAGAAGCGAACAGATCGTCAATCGGTGCCCAATAGATCTCGTTCTGGTTCCAAAGGTGGGTTATTTCGGCTTCCCGGAAATCAAGTTTTGGGGCCCCTGTATCGTGCGGCGCAACTTTGGCGATATTTAGAGCCTGTTTTTTCCCTCCTGGGACGGAGGGAAAAGAACGGTCGCGCTTCGCGCTCCGCGGCTCATGATGTACTATTGAAAACCAACGCGTGCACACTCACGTGGATACATGATCCGGTACGTTACTGCTGAGTGAAATCACGAAGTTTGCATCGCTCGTCTTTTTCGTCCCGCGAAACAGGCTCTGTTGTTCCAGATATGACCCTGGATGCCAGCTATCCGGGCGAACTTGTCCAACCCATCTCCGATGTCATGCTGCGGGAGTCCATGACTTTTGGCGAGTACTTCAACCAACCCATGAATGGGATCTTGTGGCCCGACTCCCTGAAAGAGATACGGTTCGACAAAATCGACCATTGCAATTCTCGGACTGCAGGTGGTGTCATGCAACCCATCGCGGGTGCCACGTGGCCTGCCTCCGTCGAAATTATGGTCTTTGGCCCAACCTTCAACCAGCCCATCGCGGATGGCACGTGGCCGGCTTCCCTACGGCAGCTGTCGTTCGGGCACTCCTTTAACCAGCCCATCGAACAAGTTGTGTGGCCAGCTTCCTTGCAGCAGCTTTCGTTGGGGGACGGATTCAACGAGTCCGTCACCGGGGTTGTGTGGCCGACCTCACTGCAAGAGCTATCGTTCGGGACGAAATTCAACCAGCCCATCGTTGGAGCCTTGTGGCCGGCCTCCCTGCAACAGCTATCGTTCGGGATGAAATTCAACCAGTTCATCGCCGAGGTCGTGTGGCCGGTCTCCCTGCAGCAGTTGTCATTAGGGTGGAAATTCAACCAGTCCATCGCCGAGGTCGTGTGGCCGGTCTCCCTGCAACAGCTGTCGTTTGGGAGGGAATTCAACCAGCCTATCGCCGAGGTCGTGTGGCCGGCCTCCCTGCAGCAGCTGTGGTTCGGGGACAAATTCAACCAACCCATCGCGGGTGTCACGTGGCCTGCCTCCCTTGAAATTCTGGTCTTTAGTAGCCAAAGCTTCAACCAACCCATCGCGGATGTCAAATGGCCGGCCTTGCTGCAGTTCCGTTCGGTATGAAATTCGACCAGCCCATCGCCGAGGTCGTGTGGCCGGTCTCCCTGCAACAACTGTCGTTTGGTAGGGAATTCAACCAGCCTATCGCCGACGTCGTTTGGCCAGCCTCGCTGCAGCAGTTATCGTTCGGGTGTAAATTCAACCAGTCCGTCGCCGAGGTTGTGTGGCCGGTCTCCCTGCAACAACTGTCCTTAGGGTACACATTCAACCAGCCGATCGCCGAGGTTGTGTTGCCAGCAAGCCTCCAGGAGCTGAGTTTTGGGCACAACTTTAATCAGCCTATCGCCGAGGTCAGGTGGCCTGTCTCCCTGCAACAGCTATGGTTGGACTGGAAATTCGACCAGCCCATTGTTGGAGTCGTTTGGCCGTCCTCGCTTCAAGTATTGTATTTGGGGGGAAGCTTCAACCAACCCATCGAAGAAGCCGTGTGGCCGGTCTCCTTGAAGCAGCTTTTGTTCGGGTCCCAATTCAACCAATCCATCGCCAGGGTCGTTTGGCCGGCCTCGCTGCAGCAGCTATCGTTTGGGCAGCTATCGGATGGGCCGAGTGGGTCTGAATTTAACCAGCCCATCGCGGAGGTCGTGTGGCCGGCCTCCCTGCAACAGCTATCGTTCGGAACGAATTTCATCCAGCCCATTGTTGGAGTCGCTTGGCCAGTCTCCCTGCAGCAGCTATCGTTCGGGTGGCATTTCAACCAGTCCATCGCCGAGGTCGTGTGGCCGGTCTCCCTGCAACAGCTATCGTTCGGGCAGGAATTCAACCAGCCTATCGCCGACGTCGATTGGCCAACGTCGCTGCAGCAGCTTTCCATCGGGTTCGCATTCAACCAGCCCATCGCGAATGTCACGTGGCCGGTCTCCCTTGAGATTCTGGTATTTGGCGCAAGCTTCAACCAACCCATCGAGGACGTCACGTGGCCGGCCTCCCTGCGGCAGCTGTCATTAGGGTTCTACTTTAACCAGCCCATCGAACAAGTTGTGTGGCCAGAGTCTCTTGAAACACTTACGGTCGGGGGCTGTGCCCAACCTATCGTCCAAGGAGACCAGCCGACCGCGGAGTGAGTGTCGCAGGTGGCGGGAAGCATGGCATCACTCCTGCTTGGGGTTGTTTCCCAAGGTGGTTCGTCGATGCATGGCCTCACTATTAATAGTTCATTCGAAACGCCTAGGCGGTGTTGCCTAGGGTCGTCTACATACTCACGTATGTTTTGTTTTGAGTCAGGTTTCCGTGCAGTCTGTTGGCAATGTGTCTTGTTTAGATTCAAAAACTAAGTTTGCTGTCGGAGACGGAACATACTGAATTTTGTTGTAACCGAAAGAGTTGCAACGCATCATTATCGCAAAACCGGGACTACATGTAGAGCACATTTCGCGTGCCCCCCGAACTTCCCCAGTGGAGAGAGCACGCGTGCGCTGTGCGTTGTCGTCGGCCGTTGCGCGCGCGAGCGCGAGGGAGGACCACGGAGTATGTGAGCACGCCGAAGAATTGAAGCATTGGTCAACATAGGCAGGTGGCCACAGGATGCACCACAGACCCTTCCTTGTGTGTCTACACATTATAGTGACCAGTGGTGGTGGAGGAGTGAAGGTGGTACCACTCTGGAATCAACGGGTTGTTTCTGTTCGTCGCACATACGTAAGTGTTGTATTTTTTTTGTTCGGTGTTTTGGACGTATCTCTAGGACTGTTTCTCGGTAGCGTTTGGGAGCGTAGCGGGCCTAGAAAAGAGGAGAGCGAGAGGGCAGAGCGCATGGCAGTTTTCGCTTCGTCTACGCGAAGAGTATGTGTAGAGTGACGGGTGCCACCATTTGCAGTCCGCGTGCTGATTATAACTTATGGGAGCGATTCAACATACGAGGGACAATCGTTGCGTGTGTGCATGCCCTCCTGGCTTCGGTTGGTTTCTCTGCTGGGATGATAGAATAGGGCTGCTTCCTTGTTAGGCAGAAGCTCGCACATCGTCTGACTGAGGCGGTGACGTTGATGTCCCAATGGTCGCACCTTGGGGTGCTCCAATATTTATTGCGAAAAGACAAACTTGGCATGCTCCAAATTTTGGGATCGTTTCAACTGACCGAGATTATTTTCGAAGAACCGCATATGAAAGCACCTCCGCAGCCCAGAGCAAAACTCGCAATCTCCAAGCACGGTGGCTCGCTACTCGAGCCAGTGTCGAATAAATCTAACCCTCCAAAAAGACAAAAATACCAACTAGCATATGCTTGTGGGTAGAGTGGCGCAAATCCATTCGTCCACGTGGAGTCCCACATACCTCACCACATCACCTAAACAGCAAATGCTTCTGGGTAGAGTGGCGCGAGCCCACTCGCCAAAAGTAATCCCAGACACCTCACTGGCCCCGAGGGGCAACTCACAGCCTACAACCAAGTTTCCCGCCAGATGCCTCTAGTGCGGGGCCACACTGGCTCGACGCACAGAAAGAGCGGGCGCTCTCCGGTACATGGTGCTTTCCGTTCACCGCGCGCCGTTCTCCTCTTGACATCGCGCCTCTCCGCAAGCTCCGCCAACTCCTCCAGATAGAGGTAGATCCCTCCCTCCTCTCGCCTCCGGACCCGGTGGCTTTTGACTTCCCACAGCTCTCCCCCGGCCAGGCCCGAGCTCACGTCATCGCCATCCATGTCGTCGTCGTTGTGGTCGAGCATCTCGGAGATGAGGGCTTGGTCGTGGGAGGCGAGGACTACTCCCCCTCCGTAGCCCTCGAGGGCCGTCTTGAGGGCGTCGATACTGGCCAGGTCGAAAGTGGTTGGTTGGCTTTTTGCGAGAAGACGGGGAGGGAAAGGGCGTGGTGTTGTGAGGTGGTGTTTCGGCCTTGGAAAGTGTGCGTGGTCTCTCGCCCGACAATGTTATCACTCAGTAACAGGCTCGATTCGAGCTGGCCGCCAGGATCTTTCGCGGATACCAACTGCAGTGATTCGTAGCGTGTGAGCTGTTCGTATGTATGCGCAGGGGTTTACGGGATGTGTTAGGCATGTTCGAGCGCGGAGAGTCTCTTTCTTTCGGAATGGCACGTCGGCCCGGCAGGTGGCTAGCAGAGGATCACAAAGGTGCGATGATACGATGGAGCGCTCAGGCTTAAGCCGTTGGGTACACCATCGTGGTGACGATCTTTCTCTTTTCTCTCTCTCTCTCTCTCTCTCTCTCTCTCTCTCTCTCTCTCTCTCTCTCTCTCTCTCTCGCCCCTCCCTCCTCTCTCTCTCTCTCTTCCTCTCTCTCTCACCCTCCCCACAAGCCGCAAAAACAACAAACAAGCGGATGCAAAAGGAGAAACACATAGATCTGCAACCACAACCTCGCCAAGCAGACGCAAGTGAGGCCGATGTGTCAGCTCCGCCAGCACTACCCTGCTCTTCTGCCCTTCCGACAGTCTCCGCATCTCTTGCAGGGCCAGACGGCCGGTGATACCGCAGCAGCCTGTGGGGCGCGCGCGGGCGGAGCACCTGACGACGGTGACGGTGAGAATTAGCAGGGTTGATCGGCCAACAGGTTGAAATGCACCACACTTCTCTGTTGTAAAACCGTAGATGCCTTGAATAAATATATAGGTACCTGATGGAATGTTTTAGGGGCCAAGTTGGAAATGGAATACGAGCTACTTTTACAACAGGCTTGGCGCAATTGCTCTCTTTTCACTTCAAGGTGGCGAGGTCTTCCATTCTGTTACCCTGTTGTTGCGCCAGCGTTGTGACCACTCCCAAAAACAATGTCCACCGACGCCGACGAGATGAAAACAGATCTGGCAAGTTTTGCACTTTTGTACCGCAGGGCGTGATTTCACTCGCACTCCCCAGTTGGTCACAAAGAAACGACGCCCGCAAAGAAAACTAATTCACCAAGCTGACGACGCAATTCGGCCTCGTTGATGCCCTCCACGTTACCGAAGATCCTCCGCATTTGCTGCAGCGGGCTGTCGGACATGAGAAGCGTCTCCACGTGGTGCTGGACGCGGAGGGTCGAAACGGAAGAAGAAAACAAATTGTCTTGAATATCATTCCGTCACCACCGCATATATGTAGGGTACAAATTGACAAAGCTGTCGCGACAGTATTAAACACGCCTTGTGTATTCGGACAAGTAATTTTCGGTTTTGACTCGAAATAGCTACAGATATCTCGAGGTGATCCTCATTCGTCCCCCCGCCTGACCTGTCTACGCGCGCGTTGGAATTTCGGACGATTCTCCCTCGTGTCGGGGCAAGGTTGTCGCCGCCCCCTGTCGCAACCCACGGGGGCGCCGCTTCCGGCCTCGGTAGCGGCCGCAATGAGTCTCAAGAGAGTGCTCTTGCCGGACCCGTTTCGACCCACCAGTACGACCCTGTATATTTATTAGTTAAGCAAGAAGATGAAAGCTTGTTTTCATGCACTTCATAATTGCATTAGGTTGCAAGTTTGTTTTCTTCAAGCGCATTGTAATAACGTTAGGACATAAGTTGCAGGATTGTTTTCAAGTACTTCGCAGAAAATGATAGAGTAGGCTACAAAGTTGCAGAGCTTGCCGAGCACTTAAACTTCCGAAAAATCAATAAAAACACTCGCCACAAACAAGTGAGGGCAGCAGTTCTGAGGCACTTCCACCATGCGAGGCTCGATCTTGTGTGATGTCCATCCGCACGCTATTTTTGTGACTGGTGTTCACCAATACTTACCAACATCTCTAGGGGCTTCAGGCCTCAGCAATCGAAAAGAGTGCCGTTCCTCCCGTGACTACTGATGCTCAAGCGTTTCTGTCGTCGTGGTTCGCGGCAATCAATTCTGGGCGATTCATACAGACGGGTCTCACCACAACACAACCGCGCACACCACGCGCACCTGCTCCTGCGCGTGAAGTCCATCGTGACGCCCTCCAAAAGCTGTTGGTTCTTGCCAAACGACGATAAAGTATAGGAAGTTGACGGGGGGGAGGAGAAGGTCACTCCGCGGCACTACACGATGGGGGCGTCCATCGCGCACGAGAGGGGAGCCACGTTGGGAAGCTTGAAGACCGTCTCTTTGTCCACGTGCGCAGCCAAACTGTCAAACAAATGGCACAAAACGAAGATGGGTGGGCAAAAGAGGGACGGGGCGACTCACGACCATGTGGGGTGGGTGGAGGAGATAAGAGACCGAATCGTGGTAACCCCATACCATGGACTGTGGTGCGTCCGACGTATTTTTCAGCCTTTCTTGCACGCTTCTGGTGGCAGGACCTCTTGTATGTATTGGCGGGCTTCGCCCGCGAAGTGAAACTCCAAAGCCTATGTCGTCTCGGTACGTAAATAATTTGCCATTACGTTGCGAATGGCAGTGGCAAAGCTAGACGAAGCCAGTATATCGACAGGTAGCTGACGGAATTTCTTCAAGCCTCTAGCAAGACACATCCCTCGACGTTCTGTACAACCGAGATACAGCGCTATGCTAGGCGCGGCTCAATGCACTCGGGCAGAATGCAGGCGTGCTCCGCAAGTCCCGGGGAGGATGATGGTGGCCAGGCCAACGACCAAGGCTAAGAACATTGACCTCTCTGCTCTTCTTGTGCCTCTTGGGCGACGAAACCGTTTGCTTTCGCAGCTTCGATATTTAACTCCGCAGCCTGCTCAGCTGTATGCTATGAGAAGCAAGGAAGCAGCATAGTACGTTCAGCTGCCGATGAAAGATAGAGAGTACTTGCCGAAGTTGAACAGACGCTGCGGCCAACAAGTAAGTGCTTAGGTATCGGTGAATCGATTGAAGTCTCTCTGTCGGGAGACCAAGGTACAGCATGTAGCAAGAGGGAAGGAAAGTCAGGTGGGGGTGGACACCGCAAAGAAAGGCGAGATATCCGCGTTTTGCTGGGAAATCACACTCGGACCAATCTACGTTGCCGATACATATTGCGTACATGAGTCATTATACTTCACCGATACCGGTAGGGTGGATGCTTCCGGATGGAGAGTATGTACCACCAGGCAGGCACAATGTGTGTACTGCTGTAGTTTCGCTGGTTCTCACGTGCTGGCAAAGTGTAAACACAATGATGATGACTCTCGATTAATTGTGAGCATCTTTATGAGCGGGCCTTCACTGCCAACAGAGAGAATCAGACGTACTGTGGTCACCACCGGAGCTACGCTCGGCCGGATAACCGCATTGACGTCGGTGTATGTCTGTACTGGGCGGGCGCGTATCTTTCTGCCTACGTACCACTCTCGCTCCGTCCACAACAACTGCCGTGCAAGTTGTACTGCTAAAGTATAGTACTGACATGCAGTCGTTCAATCTGTATTCTACATTATTTATTGTTATTTGAGCGTGTCCTTCTCGACCGCATCCACGTGCTGGTAGGCAACACGGCTGTGGCCTGTGGTTGATACGGTATCCGTCGCTCGAGCTGACTTCTCGCCATGGCTGTCTTTCTCGCGCTCTCAAGAGGAGAGAGTGGTGCGTGGTGGCGGGTGGCGAGTGGCGGTAAAATTAAGGAAGAATAAAATTAAGGAATAATAAAAACACACACAGAAAGACTACCCAATGTGATGTGATGGGCGAACTTTCCCGAACAGTCACCTTACATCATCCAAACCCTCCGCATCCATCCATCCCATCTTTCGGGCATCGGGCTATCCGGCTGCATCTTGGTTTGCACCAGCTGGCACACAGCGAAGCTGCAACCCTCGGACGCCGTCCGGATGAGCGTAGCTCCAGTGGCAACCGTATCTCCAGTGTTCTCTGACGAGCCCCCAACAGCAGTGATATTGGCGAACGAACCGGTCCCAGCTGAAGGCGGAGGCTGGATTTCGGCAACCTCAAGTCCTGGTGGTGCTGCTGGTGCTTCTGCTGTTGTTGTTGAAGAACACGCCGCCGATGTGGAGTCCGGTACAAGACGACCAATACCCACCCGTGCTGCTGCCGCGCCGGCAGCTGGAGGACCAACCGCTGATGATGTTGAAAAGAGCTGTGGCCTGACTTCGCGTCGCTGGCACCAGCTCTTCGCTCTGGGCATCGGTCTGCTGGAGGCAGCGTTCAGCCTCAACAATGCCATCGCTGAGGACGCGTTCAAGATCGAGGACGCTGCGAGCTTCGTCTTCTCTGCGTCGGCTGTCCAGGAGTCCGTCGGCCTAGCCGTGATGCTTCTGCTCTCGCTATGCAGAGCAAGAGTTGGGGAGCAGGATGCGGTGATGGAAGAGTTTGGCTCGCCGCTTGCGATTCTTGTGAACGGCGTTCGGCAAACAGACAGGTCTTTAACCAAGACTGGGCATTTCGGCGCGATGTGCCAGGCGGCGGTCGTGGCCGTAACAGGCCTCGTGCTGCTACAGAAGGTGGACGCGAGGGGCTTCGTCATTCTCTTCTACGCCCTCTTGGTGCTCTTCTGCGGTTTCTGCCTTGTCACGAACACCGTCTTCTGTGCGGGTTACTTCCGGAACCTGGTCGTCGTCTCTAGGTTAGACTCTGCGCTTGATCCTGACAACCCGGCTGTCGGCTTGACTTACGCCTTGATTGCGCTGCCACTTGGTGTCGATGTCGCTGAGATTCTGTTTTTGTTCCTCGGAGGGCAATCGTGGAACGCTACAATATTGGCATTGTTGGATGTGGGTGTAACGGCCATGGTCGTCTTTCCTTTCGGGTACAAGAGGTTCATGACAGCTTTTCCAGAGGCCGCGCGGCGCCTGGGACTGGACTCAGGCCGCGCGTGCGATCACTACTACTGTTGCTGTAACCTGGAAACCCTGTTGTACGTTGTTTTCGTTTGAAATATATATGACGGTGGCCACTCTGAGACGGCTGTGACCGAAATTAGAAGGGCATGTGTTGATAGACGTACGTGCTTGTAAGGTGTATATTGTGCTGGGTATACAAATTATTTAAGTTTGTAAGTATGTAGTCCCGTGTGCCATCGGTTGCGATGAGGGTTGGTTCGTTTCCTGTGAATACTTGTGTGAGCTGGGGCATTCAGAGCTTGGCCGATGACTTGATCCACTTCATCCAGCAGATGGAAATCTTGAGTGTAAAAAATGACAAAACAAGTGTGATCCACGACGTACAAGTAGTCTCGCAAGAGGGGAGGTGGCTTGACGGCGCGAAACGACGCTTGGCAATTGGCAAGTCCTCGTTTGTTTTGGGCTCGCCCTTTCCGTTCCCGTTTGTCCGGTACGCTCCTCGATCACAAAATACGGGCAGACCGCATGTCCGGCGAAAGGCGCACACGAAATCGTCCTTGACATATGCATATATATATATATACGCTTCACCCCTTTTCGTCTTCCAAGCAGCCCAGGCTGGTGGCACGCCTCTTGCACGAGCAGCCAGCGCACTTACAAGGCAGTTTTCGATGTGTCAAGAAGGATCACAAACATCTCCCGACTGTATGTGCGTACTCCCACCCCGGACGATGTTGTGTCTGCTATGCTTATGTCATCGATCCCTGTTGCAATTAACGAGCAACCGTTTGTTGTCAAACCAGGGTGTCCTGAAAAGCGCGCGTTACGGCCCAACGATCCGCGATCTCTCGGTGTGCGGCTGTCCACATACTCCGAGCGAGAGCATGGGCACATGTCGCCATAAACACAAACAATAAAACATGCCCAAATTAAACGGCTGAAAACAAATTTATTCAACAAAAAAACAACATTCTCCCCTCGTTCTTGCCTCTCCAAGTGTCTCTTATTGCCACCCCGACGATCCCCAACTACAACGGCTGTGCGTGCTACAACTGCAGCTCTCCGTCGACGAACACGAACGGGTCGGGCGCAACAACGTCCAAGATCACCTCCTGCTTCCCGCCCGCTACTCTCGCCGGCTGCACCTCCTGCCGGCCCCAGTACCGCTTGCCGCGACCCCCACCCCCCCCTCCCTGGGAACTCGCTCCTTCCGTCGACACCGCCGCCGCCGCCGCCGCTGCGGACTCAGCAACACCTCCTCCACTCTCTTGTTTCGCCAGCGCCTCAGTGTCAGAACAAGCGGCGTCGGAAGGGGGAGCGAGCCGCAGCGTCAAAGACTGCGCGTGCAGGCACATTCTGGGGATGGTGTGGTCGGCGTCCCCGTAGGTGGTGTCGCCAAGGATAGGGTGCCCCATGTGCAAGGCGTGAAGCCGAAGCTGGTGTCGCCGCCCGGTATGCGGCCTGGTTGTGGAGTAGAGGAGGCGACCCAGGGGGCAAAGGTAAAAGCACGGCATCGCGGGAAAAAACTAAGAGTCAGCAGAACGTTCAGTCGTGGCTCCGATATAAGAGGGTGGTGTGTGACAAAGGCCCTATGCATAGACCCTCTGATATCGGACCCCCCTCTTGTACCGGAATAAGAGGCTACCCAACTACACTATCGCGGGTCGAGTCCGCGACAACCGATTTCGACCCTCTTATATCGGAACCCCTCTTACAAGGTACCCTCTTACAATGGAGCCACGTCTGTTCCACATTGCCGTACTACCGACGGGTGGTGCCGCCACTGGGTGGTCATGTGGGCGATCACGTCTACAACAAACATTTGTGTCTCGACTTGTCACAATCGATAACCATCACAAACACATGACAACAACCAGGGAAACAAGAAACCGGCAACAAGAGCAGGCGACATACTACTGCTTCTCCCACACCCGTCTAAACTGGCCAAAACAATCGCTCCTCACCTCATCAAGACCTTCGTCACCGATCGTCCCCGGTACGACCCGTGCTCAAGCACCTTTACGAAAGTCCTCGACGGCTTACCCTTCCCCCCGGCCTCTTCGTCCAACCGCATGCGGAAGTCGCCCGGCACCTCGGACACGGACGCATCAACCCGAAGCTCCCCCTCGCCATCACCGGGCGCGCGGAACACTCCTCGGTCCGGTGCGCCCTGGGCCGTCTGGAATCTCGCCGCCTCCGCCTCCGCAACGGCGCGAATCTTGTCAGCCTTTGCGGCGGAGTGGAACGGCCGCGAGGCAGCCTTGTCGAACTTGATGTCCCCCCAGCTCAGCTTCGAGAAGGCCAGGTCTTCCGGGGACAAGGTTTCGCCGAGCTCGATGGCCCTCAGGAGAAGGTCCTATTTTAGTTGCGAGAAGAACAAGCGGGCGGATGTTGTATACAAGCTTGGATGTTGTACACAAGGGGCATGTTGCACGCAACGGCAGACGCTCAAACGTGGGCGATCACACCCTGGTGTATTCATCGATGATCAGGCTATACCTAGTATGCGCCTTCCCTCACACCAGCACAAGGTCGGGGTGGAACGGTACAACAGGCGGACAAAAGCCCCGGCGCACGCTTGAAAAACGCGAGCCAGGCGACATCCAGCGCCAAATAGCTCAACACACGAGCAAAATTACCACCTGTGCCTCCGGGCGGGCGGCTGAGCGTTAGCGTGGCTCTTACACACAGAGAGGAAGATTACCAAAACCGTGCATTCGGACAGCACAGAAAACGTAAAAAAACAACACAGAGAGTTGCTGCTGCGCTCGACTTTGACCCCGCTCCATCACTACGCCACTTGTGTTGAAACAACTGCAAACAGATATGCTACACCGTTCGGCGCAACCACAAAAAAAAAAAATCAAGAGCCCATCTCCCGCTTTACGGCCACCATAACGCGGGGGCAAAAACGCCATCCCTCCCATGATCCCCGTCCATGTGGGCGGCGGGCGATGATCCCTCATACACCCCTTTCGCTCCTTGCTTCTCCCCCTTCCTAATTAGCATCGGTGCCAGGAACGTACCCTAGCCCCACGCCTTTGTTGCTAACCCAGAACAACTGCCATGGTATTTGGTACTGTCTACGCAAAAGAGAGTACGTTGATTACGAAAAAAGACCAGGTAGGGGGTACGCAGACCGTAACCCTAACCCCAACTTAGCCGATTCTATACTCTTATCCAATATGTTTGCCTACTTGAAAAAACCTGCGTGGACTACTGGGTACATGCCGCACGACGCACGTGTAGCCTACAGCTCCCACCTTTTTCCGCTGGAAGAATCCGTGGGCCGGAGTGTGCTGCACCGAGTCCGGCCTTCGCTTCCGCCCGCCCCCGCCCCCGCCACCGTTGCCATCCCTCCCCTCCCCCCACCCCTCCGGCTCCTCCTCCCGCCGGGGGACGGATTCCGGGTCGACTGCTCCCTGGACCACCGCCAGGTACGACTTTTTCGCCCGCCGCTCTCGGAACGCCTCGCAGCCACGTGCCGCCGCTTCTCGGTGGAGCGCTACGCACAACACCCCTGATGTCGCTGTGCACGCAGACCGGGCGCGCGCAGGGGGGGGGAGGGGGGGGGAGGGCAAGATAGGGGGGGGGGGAAGGGTGAGGGTGCACAAAATGGCAGGCGGGAGCAGGTGGATGGGCGGAGGGTGCTTGGTACAGCTGAGGCTGCGCGGGTAGTCTTTTGACAAGCAACAGCGTTGTTCTGGGGGCAGATCCTGGAGCGGGTGCGAGGACAAGCATGACATGCCCTCATGCTAAGAACAACAAGATATAAGGCGCAAATAAAAATTAGAACCTCGGCGTTAGGGTTAGGGTTAGATACAGGACGCAAAAAAACAAAATAGCTTTTAGGCGTGTCACTTTTGTGAAAAGAGCACGACGACAAACATCACACGCCCCACGCTACACAACACGAAGGTACATAGACGCTAAACAAAACAAATACATCGACGGCGTGCCGACGTACGAATGTATGTGAACGGGGCACCTCGAGTGTCAGATTAACTACTCGGCCAACTGGCGATAACAATCAGCTGCGTGTGCGTGCACACATACATACCACGTCAAGTAGGCTGGTCCGACGCAAAAATGCAACAAAGTAGGACATTGCGTATGTCTGTCAAAAAGCTCACGTGTTCGTTTGTTTTTGTCAGCTTAACACGCACTTCGTTGTGGAGAAGCTTGTGACAATAGATATCAGTACCTTTTCCTTGAAGGCCACGGAGGGAGGGCACTCGGAGATACTGGTAGGTCAAATCGGTTTTTTCGTTGCCGTGAAAACGCCAACAACAGTAACACCACCGCCACCCAACAACGACAACAACAAATAAAGTACGACATTTCGATGCAGGCTTCGACCACCACACGTCGACAACATACCACGTAGCACCTGGGAGCGCCCCAACACCCAGCCGAGTGTGCAGGCCACCGGAGACAGGTGTGACCACCATCAACCTCTTGCAAGGAAGAGACGACCGCATAGTACGGCGGTTGATCATGAACGACGGGGGGGGGGGGGGGGGGAACCACTCACCGAAGTCCAACTGGTGCACCCATTTGAGCTCCTTGTCTTCCAGGGTGGGGCACCAGTATCTGATGAGCTTGTCCACGGCTACGTCGAAGTTCCCATCCATACGCACATCTGCTGGCTGCCCGGCGCGATGCAGGAAGGCGCACGGCGGAAGGGAAGGGAGGTGGACGGTTCTGCGGAGATACACATACATGTACGGCGGGTGCAGTTTGAACTACCCATCTTTGCTTTTCTTGCGGGCTTGCTGAGCCACCATGCACTGAAGGTTGGTCAACAAACTGGTGATTTGATGGAACCGCTATATCTAGTGGCACGTTTTCCGTGGTCCCTATCACGTTGATGACGCGGGTCGTTCCGCGGACCAAGGCCATCAACCCCATGCACACAAAACGGGTTCTGTGCCACTGGCAGAGACTATCTACGACTGCTGCTGTGGTGCACACCAGTCGCGAGTTTTCGAGGCGAGGACGCCAAGCAGGCGTTTTGTTAACACTCCGTGAACTAAACTAAAAAGGAGAAACGAGAAAGAAAGCGTTGGTGGTGGTGGCAAACAACACGTTCCTTGGTGTGGGCATGCCGACTTCCAGCAGTCATCCACCACGGACCATGCACACACAAGAGAGGAGTACGCTGTGGAAGCCAAACTTTCTCCATATGCAGCGTTTCTGACGTGCCTAGTAGGGTGACCCGACCAGGACCGCGGTACGATAGGGTAGTCCTACTACGAAGAGAGCATACCGTAGGTTGCATAAGATACCACACCCCCTGGACCGACTTTGAAAGGTCGATTACTCCACCACGAAGAGGATGCCGAAATCGAATGGTGCATTTTCGGGAAGCTCTCGAATGAGACAACTCCAATGCCGCCATTTCCGGCACCGTCACTCCCTCTGCTGTCGAGGAATCGAGCTTTGAAAACCGGCCCAGCGGGTGTGATATCTCATGCAAGCTACGGTGGTATCGACATGGTAGTGGGTCTTGATGCATATTGGTATGTCGACTAAGTGTACAAAATTGACACGACCCAACCATATGCGGCATAAATATACTGCTGCTACTGCAACAACGACAAATGGCATGTACACGTCCTCGAGACGAGTCGTTCGCGTGTACCTCACGTAAAGAGAGATGCAGGCGCATCTGGACGCACGAAAGACAGCGCCACAGCAGCGTCGTGAGAAGGTCGTGTCGACCATAGACGGCGGAAGGATGTGAGGATCGCGCCCAACGGATGCCAACAACGAGACTTTGTACACCGCCCAGAGTGTTGCTCAGAGATGGAATATGAAATGCACACTAAAAGTACGGCATGAAACGAACACTCGCGATATGGTGAGGATGGTTTGCGTCGTGGTGCTAACCTTGTTAATTACGACGAAGTCATCGTCCAGCGACAGCGTCTCCGTAGGTATGTCTCCGCACTGCCGCGATGCCGCGAGCTCTCTCGACGTCATCGACAAGCCTCTCTGAGCCATCACCGTGTCTGCCAGGGCTTGGCAGCGGATGGGAGACCGCCGCATCAGACTCGCCATCATGGAGCCGGGAGAGACGAAGGCGACTGCGTTGGCGTTGTTGCCGCAGAAGTGATGCTGCTGCTGCTGCTGTCCCAAGCCGGTTGCTGGCATGCAGCTACAGCAGTATGTACACTGCTTGCTGTTACTGTGCTGTGCCTGAAAGTACTGAAGGAGTCGGCTTCCCCTCTGTGTACCCCTTTAGTACAGAGAGAATAGGTGTAATGCAGTAGAGGTAGGCACTTCACTTCTCCAAGAAACCTGCTCGAGCGTACAGCGTATACGTTGGTAGACTCTCTCGACACAAGGCTGAAGGCCTGCTGGCTGTGTGTGTGCTGGCCGCTGGCTGCTGGCTGCTGGCTTGAATACAGGGGGCACGCGCGCCGGAAAATCGGCGTATGAAGTTGGGAGTTCCATTGGAAAATATCGGAACAACGGGGCCGGATTAATCTGACATTTTGAGCCCAGTTTCCACCAACGCAGACTCCTCCTACTGGGTCAGGCTCCGGGTTTGTCAGCCTGATCCTCAAAGAACACCGTACCCTCCGAGAAATTGACCACCGCCTGCACCCAAGAGTACGCCACCCCGAGATTTCACGCCAGATTCAGGACCGCAGGTGAGCTGCATGGGCGCTTGCGGATCTGTGTGGGGCGATTTGGCAGGATTTTCCTTCTGGCAGCCCCTCTCAAAAACACGTCGATTTGCCTGACTCGTGCCGCTGGGGTGTACAACACAGGGACGAATCTCTCGATTTGCTGCTGTCGTGACTACGCGATTTCACGTTCGGGAGGCGTCCTTGTCGGATGGCACCTGTAGTCCATGGTCACTCAGTCGTCGTTTGTTGTACAGGGTTGCTCTTGGGCGAGGTAGCACCCAGTACATGCTATTCTTGCGGCGTGCGTGGCTCTCTCATCAATCAACACGCAACGTCGTGTGCACGTTCCACGCAGCAGCAGCAGCAGCAGCAGCAGCAGCAGTTCAACCCATCTGCTCGCTTCCCCGAGAACGACTACCACGCACCGACGAAAAGCCGAGATTAATCGTCTCTACGGGTGCTCTCATCGCCCTCCGGTGTTCCCCCTGCCAATGCACGGCAGCAGGATTGCAAGAACTTGTCGCGTGTAGCAGCGTTATTCCCCCGCCTAGACAATCCCATTTTCTCCACTGCGAGGTGACTGACCTTTGTCACAACGGTGTTCCCTCTGAAACCAGCTGCCCTTAAACCCTGCTGGCATCTGGCCGAGTCAGAGATGCATCCCCTGATAACCAAAGATCCCGCCTGCACTCGCACAATACTCACCGCGCCGCCGACCCTCATGCGCCTGCAGGCGCCCACAACTCCACGCAGGAAACCATCGCAAACATCAACACGGAACTACCTTGAGGGAGGGGCAGCAGCAGTATCATCGTCACTCCGTGTAGTCAGCAGACAAGAGCCAGCAGTTTAGTAGCGGATTCAAAAACATAACCCCAAGGCGGGCAAGCCCGATAGCACACAGACCAAGGATGAAAACAGCAACAGCGATGCGCACGACGGCGTGCGCGGCGTGCTGCGGCCTCGCGGGCGTCGGAGCTTTCCTGTCGGCCCCCTCCACGAGCATCGTCTCCTCGCGAAACAACAACCCACACACGTGGGGAAACTCCGCATTATCTTCCCCGCTGAGCTTAGTCGGGGGAGGCTCGGCAAACGCGCGCGCGTCGGTGTGTCCATCACCGGACGGCGACGGGGAGGGGGAAAGTCGACGGGATGCTGCTGTCAAGGGCGGGGTTCGACGGCATGGCGGGGGCGGGGGCGGCGGCGGCGGCAGGCGTCACCGCGCGGCCACCCTGGGGAACTTGGACTTGAAGCCGGCGTACCGATTGTTCGACACCGTGCCGCCGCCGCCGTCCACGGACGCGACGGCGCGGAAGAGCGACGACATCGACCTCGACGTCGATGGTGACGCCCCCTACGGTGAGAAGAAGAGGAGACACCGACCCCGCTGGACACAGCGGGCGGCGCCGATATTATCTACTTGTCCAATATTGATTTCCTCCGGAGTACTTCTATATATAATCTTGGGGTTGTGCGTTTCTTCGATGTTCTTGGTCGTTAGGTATCGAGTCAGCAGTTGTGGAATTCCGCCGCTTCTATTCACGGTAAAAAAGGGCTGCTGCGGTGACACATCGGAAGAAAAGACGCCGCTGCTTTCTTTTCTGCCGGCGTGAGTTCTCGGTCCCGTCTTGCGAAGCACAGCAGGAGCACCTCTGCTATGCCAAGCACCTTCTTGGTAGATTACCTGGATCGCCGTTCTCGTTCTGTTTTTTTTTTTTACCTGGGCGAGCACAACGCAGTATTCGGGCCTGATACGTGCTTACGTCATGCTTGGATATCGATTTCCGAGCATCTTTTACTGTCACAGCAGCAGCAGCTGCGTCATGTAGACACACTAATGTATTGTCGTCCCTGTTTTCGGAGATACGTGACACCCCACAACTATGAATACCAGTTTTCGTTCGTGTCGTCTTTTTCAACGCTTTTGAGTCTCCGACTTTGAGAACTATACTTGCGCTTGGTAGCTGTCTACCTGGTTCCTGATTTTAACGTCTACCTGTTACCTATTTTAACGTCCATCTGGTACCTACTCTACCGTTGTTCACCTCACTACTTGTTTGTGTTTATCCGATGTCCGTAAGACATGCCGGTGGAATGTTTTGATCAACGCCCGTCCCGCGGACGTTCCCTCCCCCCGCTCCCCCGCACCCTCCCTTCGCGGTGGTGAAGCCGCTCGTTACAGCAGTTCCACCTGTACGATACTACCATCCGCTTGATCTCTCTCGTCCCCCGAGTCTTTTGTTATCCATGCGATCTTTCAGACATCTACCAGTCAATTATCAACCTCGCGTCTGCGATGTGCAGTTCCGACGTAAATAGGACGGTAGTTGGCACCGAAATCGAGGCCAGCTTGTCGTTGTTACTCTGGCGTGAGCGTGGCGGTGTTGTTCAAGTCTTTTCTTCTCAGCAACAGTCCGCTCTCGTGACGAAAGACAAGAGAAAAGTAAACTCCCAACCCACAAGGTGTGTTCAAGCCGGTGTGCGCGTTTTTAAGCTTGCCTTCTTTCGCGTACAGTACATATCCAACGAACTACGTTTGGCATCACTGCAAAAAAAAAAAATCCCGGCGAACAGATGTCGACCCGTTCAAGCTGGCGAGCAAAGACCTGTCGCCGTTCACCGACACCATCAAGGAGCTGGTCGAGTCGGAGCACCCGGTACTGTCCATGGCCGCGAAGCACTTCTTCGAGAAGCGCCACGGGAAACGCTTCCGCCCGACCATCGTCGCGCTCATGGGTGAGTTTTTTGTTTGGCGACCGACAACCCCCCCCCCCCCCCCCTCCCCCGTTAATATTTTTTTTCACTTGGAGTATCCAAATTAGTAGCCATGTTCATGTTGTTCGGCGCGGTGTATTGTGCAAGAAGGAATGCGGCCGGGTTTAATATTGTGCTGTATCTCCCTGGCAAGCGGGCTACATACGTTTGTCATATGGTCGATTCATTCGTTTTTCTGTTCGTTTTTTTTTCGCACTACCGAGAAGCGCTGGCGACGTGCGACAAGCCAATGGAGGCGCACCGGGAGAGCGAAGAGTACACACGGCAGGGGCAGGTAAGATACGGGAACGCGGCTTCATGTCGTGTGTACACGGTAGCAAGTTGCGCTCTCGCCCGCGATGGTAGGCCTGTGAGTGATCCAAGCAGGGCCCCTGTCGAAAACACACAGCTGTGGATGGGAGAGAGGCAGAGCTGTCGATACTGTGAATGATCGAAGCAGCTGTCGATAAACATGCAGGCACGATACATTTACAATGAGCATGCTAGAGGTTGGAGGCACATACATATTTCTGCGTGTACATTGTACGATGCACGCACGCTCTGGTCCCACAACATGTCAACGTTCATCGACACCCCCCCCCCCTTCCTGTGCGTGCCTGTCGTTCGAGAGAACAGTTGGGACAGATCACGGAGATGATCCACGTTGCGTCGTTGATCCACGACGACGTTCTCGACGAGGCGGAGGTCAGGAGGGGCGGGATGGCCGTGCACAAGCTGTACAGCAACAAGGTAGCGGCCGGGAGCGTTGTAGCCTTTTTCGAAAAATAATCGACCGTTGCACGGTGTTGTATTTCAGCCCTCCTTTTTTTCGTTACATTTTTTCGATCGAAGAATATTCGACCACCGCCTGTAGTAGTTCTAGCGCACCTTTTTATACAGACTTCGCCCGCACGTAGGTTTGGCCGGGGTCGGGTGTTCCTACAGCAGTTCTGCTTGTGGGCTAAAAATGGCCGCTCTATATAAGTAGGTTTTAGTGTAAGACACCGGGCTCACAGAGATGATGGTGCTCACGTTCTCACGGTTGATATATTGTTTTAAGTCAAGTTCTGAAGAGCTCTTGACCAAGCTCACAAACGGTACCCATGCATTATGTTCGATACGACGTTAAGAAAAAATTGAAGTTCTTTTTGTGTGCTGGGCGCCATCTGTATTCATGCGTATTGCGTTTTTGGTGTTGGGGTTGATGGTTTGTGTCCCGGCCGAACACGGGCCTAAAGAACCGAAATATTTTTCATGTGTTATTTTGTTTGTGGTGATGTGATGGGGTGGGGTGACGCTCGTTCCGCGGCATGACTGTGTTCTGCGTTGTTGGACCTGCTGATTGAAAAACGCTTCCGTAGGTATTGTATAATAGTCGAAACTCCTAGAGTTACCAACATCCATCCCCCGTCATGACCCCCAGCGGCCTCCCTGTCTGGGAGATGCTAATGTCGTACTTAGTGTCAAAGGCCAGCAACCAAAAGTGCCTCCTTTTTCATTTTGGAAACCCCTCAGGTGGCGGTGTTGGCCGGGGACTACCTCCTGGCTCGGGCGTCGGTGTTGCTGGCGAGGCTTGGGGACGTCCAGGTGGTGGAGATCATGGCCACGGCGCTGGACAGCCTGGTTCAGGGGGAGATCATGCAGCTGAAGATGGACCCCGAGAAGCTGCTGGACATCTCCCTTTACCTTCGGAAGAGCTACTACAAGACGGCGAGCCTCATCACCAACGCGTGCAAGTCGTGCGCGATCCTGGGGGGACACGAGTTCGACAGTGACGTAAGTGGGGGGGGGGGTGCTGTGGGGTGCTGTGGGGTGCTGTGCTTTTTGGATTTTTTTTGTGTGGCCAGATTTCCGGCCGATTTTTGCGCAAGTCGAGTCGAGAATGTTGAGGAGCTGCGGTCGAACGTTAGACGCGGATGCTGTTGTTGTTGTTGTTGGATCTGTAAAGAGGAGAACGCTCTTTTTGTTTGTCTTTGGACGTGGATGTTGGTGTTCCACCTGGCACAAAGAAAACCCGAATTTTTGTGATGTTGCTGTTGGAGCTGTGAAAAAGAGAACGCGCGTTTTGTCGTCTTTCTTTTGTATTTTGGTTGCAATAGGTTGCCACTGCGGCGGAGGAGTACGGGTACCACATGGGGCTTGCGTTCCAGATCGTGGACGACATCCTCGACATCGTGGGGGCGGCAGATGTGAGTATGCAAATATTATAGTCGAAATGCTTTCAGTATGGCTTCAAGAACGTCTCTGCTTGAGAGGAGGGGGCGGGCACGACCCGATACTTTCCATTTTTTTTATTCCAACAACATAGCGAACGAACAGAAATGGATGCAGTTATACTAGTTGGAATTTGTTTTGTGCGTATTCGTCATCGTGTGCTCTCGGGAATCAGCTTCCGCAAAACTACAAGTTGAGAATAAAAACACATATGTGGATATGGATGTGCAAGAAATTTGTGTTGTTTCTGTAAGGAAATAACATAAAATGGGATGGGAATGAAAACGTATTTCTTACAGCAGTACCGACGCTGACCACGTTGTGTGGGGCGAAACGAATGACTGTTGTTGGCGGTGCCGATACACTGCATTTGCGGGGTCAGCGATTATCGTTTGTGCACAAGAGCAAGGTATGCTGCAACAATAATGCTGTACGTCCCCATAGGGAACTAAAGGTGCTTCGGTGGAAAGATGATTGTGTAAATGATAACGTTCGGATTGGAAACGGAGATTCTGATCATTGGCAGCCGCACTGCTGTCTTTGATTTGGTTGGCCGCTCTTTTTGTCCGTAGGTCCTGGGAAAGCCGGCTATGGCGGACATGTCGCTGGGGCTCGCGACTGCGCCCATCCTCTACGCCGCGGAGAACGCGCCGGAGATCAAGAAGATCGTCAAGCGCAGATTTAAGAAAGAGGTGAGAGCCGAGTCTAAGTTGCCCTTCGGTTGTCGTCATCGCTCTTTGGAGCGGAGGGCCATGAGAGAAGGCGTCGCGCTGCCGTATGTACCCTTGGTGACGCAAGATATCACACCCCTTAGACTGATTTTCAACAGCTGCATTTCTGCTCAAGAGTGCCGTTGCAGAAAATGTCGGCGTTGGAACCGTCTCCTCCAGCTCTGAACATGGGTCCAGGGGATGTGGTATCTTGTGTCACATACGGTAGGTTTGTAAGGCGAGTCTCTACTAGTAGTTGGTAAGCTTCGGCCGGGAAGGCGTTGCTGGGGTCCGCCTCTTCGAAAACGTCATCAAACGTCGGCAGACATTTCATAGCCTTGCAGTCAAATATCGCTGTCTGCCCTTGAGGTAACCCCCCACCCCCCGTCCTCTCGCATCCCGCTCGCAGGGGGACAAGGAGAAGGCCTTGAAGGCTGTTCTCGATGGGGACGCAGTTGCAAGGTCGAGAGAGCTAGCGCGGTGGCATGCACAGGTATGCGGGAGTGTCCATCGGCAAATGTGTAAGGCCTTGCTTGACCTTTTGCGCATATCGGCTCATCAACGACAAGTGGTCAGCCTTCCCGTGGGTGTTTCATTACAGTCGACCCTCGGCTAAGAACACACCTGGTTTTTTGCTAAGAAAACCGTCTTGAAGCCGGGGAAGTGTCGTTAACGTTGATACCCCTCCTTATGCTGTACTTCATTCTGCGAGCCACCATGCCTGTGACTTTATGTCCTTAAGCGAGGCACGACTGTACGTGTATGTTGTTGGAGAGAGGTCCAGATCTTCTTATGTATGGCCTCGTTAACCCCAGCGCTTTCGCGTAGTGCCTGGTAGAATCTCCCGCCCGCCCGCCCGCGGGCACGAAGTTCGATGCCCCCCTTTTCCAACCCTAGCGGTAGGTTTGTCATGTGCGTTTTTTCTGTGGCGTCCGGCCTATGGTGTCATCTGTGTCCGTAACTCCGCTGTCCCTTCCTCTCGCCTGTAACCCCTTTTTTCGACGCACGCGCAGAGAGCCGTAGACGCTGTGTTGAGGCTGCCGCCCTCGGAGGCACGCAACGGACTCGTCAACATCTGCCACATCGTCCTCACTAGGAACAAGTAATAAGGGGTTAGAAAAAAGGGTGGGGTGGGGTGCAGACGGAGCAGGTCACGGCTCGTCTTCGCAAACCTCGACGGGTGTTGTTTGGAACCAGTTTCTGCTTCTGGAAAATAATTAATCTTGGACTCGTCTGTTTCAGTTTCCCCTTCTTAATTTTGGTTGCCCGTGAGGTGGTCGGACGACGCGGCGGGCGTGCAGTTTAGAGTGCGGCGACGGGGCGGGCGGGCGGGCGGCGGGGGGGGGGTGGGGGGTCGTGTCTCTGGGGGGGGGGGCGGTCGTGCCTCTCCGGCTGCAAGCGGTCTTAAGTGCTTCGAATACTTATGCTGCTTCGACTTTTTTGCTGTAGGCGTGTTGGTTGTGACGGCGAAATTGCGACAGAAACGCCAACAGGAATAGCTTCCGTTCTGCTGTAAGACGTAAAACGAACGGCGTGGCACGGGTTGGAATATTCAGCAACCATTGCAGGGCGTGGCGGGCCAGAAAGGGAAAAATATCGGGGTCCCCTGCAGGTCGTCCCACCCGATGGGCGTCGACCGCAAGTTATCACAACGGGTTGAAGGGTTACGTGTGTTAGAGACTGAAGAATAGCATTCTGCGAACGGCCTTACTCCCTCCTCTTCCCCTTCCTCGTGCATGATTGGTCTATGATTCGTCTAATGACACGCTTCGTTTGAGGTTCATTTTTGTGAGAGGGCCGTGCGTGTGCTGTCAAGCGGACAGAAAGGAAAGCTCGCAGACCTCGCTGCTCTAAAGGGTCCCTCCTCCCCAACAGAAACTGCCGATTGAGGCGGGGGAGAGGGGGATTGTGTCGCTGCAAGGAATCAAAGCCCTCTTGCTGGTGGCGGCAGGGATTGGCGTTGTAAGAGGTCGCCGCAACATGCAGAATCACTGGAGTAGAATCATGGCTGCTCGCTTCATGTAGTCGTGGCGGAGAAATCAAGAGAGCGGCTGTAGCACGGGTTTGGTTCTAAGGGAGGATGGGGAATGTTCGGGGTAAATCGCTCCATGGTGGAAGGGCGAGTTACGCAGCGTTGCTGCTCCGCTTGTACAGGTGTTTTGGGGGTTTAAAAAAAGCTTTTTTTGTTTGTCTTTGGTTTCTCGGCGGTCGTGTTGGGAGTGGGAGGGAGGGTGTAAACATTCTGAGTAGTTTCGATCTGTCGAGTTGTTCGACAAGTTCTGCCTGCGCCGAATGCCACTGTCACCCGGTTGATGACCGAAGTCGGGCAAGGCAGTTCGGGTGACATTTGTTTGAAGTTGAAAGATGGCCTTCCGGCCGGCGTAGCTGCGTGTCGGAAGTGTTGCGATTGGCTGGACCCTCGCCAAGTGTCATGTGTGCGTGTAGCCGGGTGCGGTTTGAAGTACAAGTAATTGCGTGTGACGTAGTCGAGAAAGGGAAGAAGAAGGCCTGTTGAACGGTTCGTCGCCTGGTAATGGTGTTGAGGAGTTGCCCTGCCAGGGCGTGACGGACGTTGTATGGTGGCCGCTGTCCCTACCGGCCGCATCGATAACAACAATACTTTCGTGTGATAACAATACTTTTGTGTGATAACAACAATACTTTTGTGTGATGACAACAATACTTTTGTGTGATAACAACAATACTTTTGTGTGATAACAACAATACTTTTGTGTGATAATAACAATACTTTTGTGTGATAACAACAACACTTTTGTGTGATAACAACAATACTTTTGTGTGATAACAACAATACTTTTGTGTGATAACAATACTTTTGTGTGTAACAACGCCTTTGTGTGTAATGACACTCGTGCGTAAACATGACACAACATTCTCGTGCGGCGACACCGCACCGGCAAAGCGGAGATGTCGCCTTCTCGGAGTCAAGCACACAGCCCTCTGACGCACATAATAATGTGTGGTGCAGCACGGCCCATGTTATGGGCTAGCAGGGTCTTCGATGAGCGTCATGTAGCAAAACGGGTGGCGCCGAAAGCATCTTGGTCTGCACGGATGGGGGGAAGGGGGGGCCAGACATGTACCCGAAACCCCCGTGATTTTGTTGTGCGGACATGAACGAGACAAGGATTTTTTACGAACCAAACATGGCACGTATCAAAGAGAGACTGCACGTTCGAGAAATAACCACAGTCGAAGGCCATGGTCCAGTAATGGTATCGGTATAATGCCGGTGCGATCCAGCCGATTGCACCAACCGGCACTATCGCGGGCAACCGATATACACCCGCAATATAGCCGGACGTGTACTTGCGGCCAACACTAGGTATGGCTTCCAGGTTGCGTGGGCGCGCTCCGTGAGGAAGGACAGAAAAACCATAGGGGTAGAGTTTCGAACGTTGTTCAACAGCAACACCAAGAGGTAGCCAAGGCCAACAACGTGGAGCCAGCCCCCAAGCGCCTCCAGGAGGAAGGAAGGGCGTTTCTGGGGTACCCGTACCAAAAAAACAATGTTGTTGTCTATCTAGTCTAGCATACTCACTCCTGTTACGTCACAACATTTAGCCATTTCTGCACAGCGAGCAACGCGCTCAACACATGCCTACACAACCCCACGTTTTAGCCTACATGGGGATGGTCCGTATAAAATATCGGTAAGGGTAATGGTGATTGAAATAATCTACAAGCACAACGACGGGCATGGGTACAAAGCCGCCCTCAAACGGCGGGAAAAACGCAAAACGCTCTTGTGGTAACCACGACCAATCTCCCGATACCCCTCGCACGTACACACCATTTGTCGCAAAGGGACCCGGCATGTCGTTACGCCAACTCTTTCGACACATCACCACCATTCATTCTTCGTGTTATGAACACCTTGCTTGCACGAAACCAACCTTTCGCCTCCACATCTCAAAAATAGCCCAGAAGACCTCAGTCTACAAGTAGAAGACTGGCACAGGAAAGTTCTAACCCTGTATGTATGAACAAATGTTTAGACGCCCCACGAACTATCAAAGTCCTGCATGAAAACAAGGTGGGTTTAGAGCTTAGACTACGATAGCCGCGAGGCAACCACTGGCACTCGGTCACCTCACCTCTCCCTGTGTCAAAATCAATGGCGCACATGAGTTCACAGCCACGTAAAACAATAGACTGACTGCACATGCACGTTCACATCTCCCTGTATGTTTCAAAATCAGGCGTATCTGCCAGTACGCTTTCAAATCACAGGCTCACACAACACTAGTGTATACACTGGATGTACAATACGTTAGATTAAAATAGGCTGTGCACTTCAAATCACAGGTACACAAAAAAGTAGACTGGCTACACACGTAAAGGGTTAAACAAAAGCACTTTTACACAAACACTATGCTGCGATACACCAAGCAGCGACACAACACCTACCATGCATCATACCTTCTCTCTCCTTTATCTCTTCCTCTCCCGCGCCTCCGTGTCCATTCCAAGACGCTAAGACTAAATTCCGGGTGGTGACACCAACCATCAAGAGGAACGAATGCCTCTTCTTCTCAAGCAAAATTTCGTCAAGCATCTTCGGTTCCGTTCCGAAGTAAAAGTAGACACAAAAAGTCATAGTACCTGTTCCGAAGCAACAGTATTAATAGCAGTAGACCCAACAACTCTTAAGTACCTGAACTAACGGTCCCGCCAGAACGGGGGCTAACCGTATGTTTCAGAAAACATATGCTATACAACCGAAATTTTCCATTTGGTACCAGTATGTGAAAAAGAACACACAAAAGACCCTTCCCCGACTGGGGGTGCTATCGGGGCGTCCCGGCCTCAGCCGCGCTTCGCCGCCCGGATCTCCGCCAAAAGACCGCCGATTCCTGCCGCCGCTTCGCAACCACCGCTCTGGGTGCCGCCGCCGCCGCCACCGCCGCCGCTGCCACCCCGCTCTCCGCGGGTCCGGATCTCCGCCAGAAGATCGCCGATGCCTGCCGCCGCTTGGCCACCGCCGCTCTGCCGGTCGCCGCCGCCGCCGCGGGCCCGGATCTGCGACAGCATTCCCAGCATCGGCGGGGGCGGCGGCGGAGGGGGAGGGCAGCCGGTCGAGCGAGGGCCGCCGCTGCTCCTGGCGGCGGTCGCGGACCGGAGGGCGCGGAAGTGCTTAGACTTCGGCTCCCACGACGCAGCGGCGGCGACGGCCGCAGCGTTGGCCCGCTGCTGCGGCCGGGGCGGGGTGCCCGCCTTCCTGGTCCGACCGGGAGCGGTAGCCGGGGCCCGCCCGAGCAAGGTCTTGCTCAGAGTCTTCTCCAGCACCGCGCCGAAGGCCTTGATGCGGTCCTTGGCGTGCCCTCCACCGACGGCCGAAGTCTTCCCTCCGGCCGTTTCGTCTTCCCCCTCGGCGTCATCACCACCGCCACCGTTGGTGCTGCTCTTGCCGCCGTTGGCCCCTGCCATTCCGCGGGCCCCCCGGGAGGAGCAGGAGAAGACCCTCGCCAGCTCTTCCTTCCGGATTTCGGCCTCCTCGTCCGCGGTGACGAACCGGAGGGACCTGCTCTTGTCGCTCAGCCTCGACCGGAGCTCGGGGTTAGGGTCGAACGCTCCCTCGACCTCCGACCCCTCTTCCACCTCCTCGAACTCCTCCTCGTCCTCCTCCTCCTCCTCTACCTGCCCGTCCGCAGTGGGTGTCTCCGCCGCCGCCGCCGCCGCCTCCGCAGTGGATGCCGCCGTCTCCGCCTCCACGGCCGCCGGGCCACGTGCCGGGACGGAAGCAGTAGCGGTGGCTGTCGTCTCCGTCTCCGTCTCCGTCTCCGTCTGCTGCTGCTGCTGCTGCTGCAAGCGGAGGAGCTTCCTTGCGGACAGCAACCGGCGGGTAGCCGCGGCCTCGGCTAGGGTACCGTCCACCGTGGACGGGCTCTCCCGCAGCGCGCGGGCCGCCGACTCCAAGTGACCCTCGAGGCGTTTCGCCTCTTTCGACAGCCTGTGTGAGGGTTTTATTTGAAGGGGGGGGGGTAGCGATTATAAGTCTTGACTTGCATGTAGGCATGGAGTTACCGGTATTCCCAATCCTCACAAAATATGTTCTATGGTACAGTAAAAGCGCATCTACCATACATACATACCGACCGGTATTTCCAATTCTCACAAAATACGTTCTACTCCAGAAAAACCACAAACACACATACATACCTGGTGACCTCCGACTTGGCCTCTTCTCTGGCCCTCCGGAGATCCTCTGGCTTGCACGTGGCCCTGTTGAACGGGTGGCGAGAGTCCTCGAGGACGTACTCGTACTCTCGTCTCGCCTCGGGAAGAAGGTCGTCCCTCACCTGATAGTGGCGACGACAGCGCGGCCGTGAGGAGATGGATGGATGGTGAGAATCAAGGTGACGAAAGAATTGATGATTCTTCATGCTGTTGCCTCTTGTTAGAAATCAACTCCGCATGCTTCGCGACATTTTTCATTTTCTTCAGCAGGTTTCAACGATGTTAATTCAAGAAACACGCACATAACGCGCGCACACATAGCATATGGAGTACCAGACAATGGCCTTCATGACCATTTTCTGATTTCGATCGCACTGAGACTGACGTCTACGTTCATTGGTCAGCCCGTTAGAGCCGATGCAACTAATGACAACGCGGGAAGCCGAACTCACCTTGGCCAAGTCGACCCGCTTGACCTCCAGCCTGCGCTGCCGCTCTCGGAGCTTGTCCACCCTGGCCTGCACCTCCGCCGCCGTCGGATAGAAGTACTCCTCCCTCCTGGCCTGCCCTGCGCTCAGCTCGGGGAGGCGCACTTGCCGCCTGGCCGAGATCTCGGGGTCCCAGCCCCCGCTGACCGTGTCTCCTCTCTCCTGGAAACCCCAAAGCACGATAGACACGAGCGAGAACAAAATGCGCAATGAGGGATGTTTGTGTATATGCAAACGCGTCGATAATATGCTACCTGGCCTGTGTAGCAATGAGTTGCTGTGGGCCAACATGTTGCTTCGGTGGGATAGCGTGGAGCACCGATTGTGGCTGTCGAACTTGGCTGGAGTATGCTAGAACAAACAATCGTGGGCAGCCATTAATTGGTGGTGTGTACACATTATTTTTACTTCACGGTCGACTAAATAGAGAAAGAAACGCATAGATAAATCCTGCTCGAGATAGAAAGGAAGGCAGTCACAGCAGGCAGCCGGAAGGTGGAGGGCGGGCGGGGACTCCGGTCTGTTTGGACTTTCTTACTTTGTGATACAGCTAGTAGCAGTGCGTCCAAACAAAATAAATAACATTTGATGGCGTGAGAGTCGGCGTCCAGACCAAATGGGATGCCAAGACAACGCTGATTTTACCCTAAATACTGCCGAACATATATAGCTGGTACAGTAAATTATTACCATACCGTGCTCTCTCTCTCTCTCTCTTTCCCTTCTATGTGGCTCCTGTCTGTTTCACCTGTGCGATCAGCCCCTTAGCCCGTTGCACGAACTCGGCCCTCCAGGCGGCTTTGCGACCGTCATCGTCCACCTCGAACTTGTCCGGGAGGCATGCCAGGATCGCTCTCATCTCCACCAAGTCGTACTACAAAAACAGAAATCACGACAGAGAGACAAAAAGAAGCACAACGAACAGTCAAGAAAACTTTCGATGTCTTCTTCACGAGTGGTGGGGTTCGACTAAGGCATTATTGGGTGTGTCATCCCGTCTATTTTGGGCGTCCGTATTTTCGCCTTCCGATACAATTCTGGAAACAAACACGATGAATAGATAAGAAGCGAAACAACAGTCAAGCTACCTCTCGATTTCTTCCCGGGTGTGGTGGGGTTAAGTCTATTACTGAGGTGTGTCATCCCATTTATTTTGGACGTCGGCATTTTCACCT